AACACTTTAACATCTTTACATTTACAGTCTGCCTTTCTCACGCTCTGCATCCGTTTAACTGTAGATCACTTTCACATACTCCTCAGTGCGTTCATACTCAAATACCAGCCAGTCTGCTACTGTTCTATACTTAACTTCTTTCTCTTTCTGGATCCACACAAAGTATACATGTTTTTTTCCTGACAGTTCATTGATTTTGCTACAATGTCCTCAGCCAAAAGTGATGTAGTATACTCTCTATGCCTCTGCTGACTGTTTTCAGGATGAGTACATTCCTTCAGTATGGCCTTGCTGTTTGTGGTCACCCTAAGGTGTAGGCTCACATATTAGCAATTCATTTTCAGGGTTTGGTCACTCAAGCAGAAGCTCAGAGTATCACTGTTCCTCACACCCGCATTTGTCAGCTGCCAATCAGCTAATACAGCAGGTTTTGCAAAAAAAAGTTGCATACCTTCTCTTTATTTGGGTAGCATAACAAAATAGTAGAAAATAATGAGCAATTGTTAGTAGAGTGAACAGAGACAGTTGTGATATATCTTAATTGCACATCTCACACAAGTTAACCTGTTTGATGTAATCCATACTGATGTGACTTCATCCTTGTAATATGCAAATTACATGTCACCAGCAGTTTTTTTCCCCCTCCCTTTTGTTTAGTGACTTTTTCATTAGAATCTCTCTAAGGAAGAAATAGAAGGTATGCTGGTAACCCTTTGTCATGGACAGTAGAACAATGCTACAAATCAGTCATGTCCCAGGCAATCAATGCAACTTATCTGGCTGATTGATCTAAAGCATTGAAGCAATTTAACAATAAAAGAAGAATAAACTAGTTTTTCTTGTTATAATAGTAAGAAAACCTGTACATTGTAATTAATTAAAGACACTTGAAATCAAGCAGCAAATACTCACGATCATGCATATATGAACTGTATTGATTGCCAAGTCACCATGTAGAACTGGCCTTATTGTTCTGTGAAAAGCAGACAATCTGACATTTTATTATAAAACCTTTACTTGAAGAGCACATTACATTACTTAGGCATTCATTATCTTTTTTTTTTTTCCATAAAAGTTGCCATTAACATAAGTGTAATCTCAAGATGTGTTTGACCTTTATATGCTCATAATGCACTCAGGTTAGCCATACACTGTGAAGCCATTCAAAAAGAAGCCATGAATTAATAGTAGTAATAATAATAATAATACTAATGTTGTTAATAATAAGAGCTATTTTCAGACACTTTTGAAAAACTGTAAAACAATTGCAGTTCTCCATCAATTGATCTGGAATGGGGGCATCTATTTCTGGGGAAGCACAGTTCAAATGTTAGTGGTCACATGCTTTACTGGCTCTTTTTCTTGATGACAGATTTGTCAGACTATGACCACTTTTCAGGAATTGCTTCCCTTTAAAAAAATATCAGTTCTCCCATAAATACAGTTATTTTCCTGACATTGCAAAATGTTTTAAAAGCAATCTAACAGGAGAAAAATATGGGAGCTGTGATTGCTGACTTGTTTTTTAAGGTACAAGGTCCAAACTTTTTATTCTATAATTGCTTCAATACTTATTGAGTCATTGACCTGAAACAAGCATATACTGTATACAGTACACAGTATATCAGGTGTCAGGTGCATATCCCTTTTCATTAGTATTTCATCCTACATACATGAAAGAGTAATGTAAATGTGATTTTCTGTCAGGCTACTACCTTTTATTAGATTATTCAAGGGAAGATGATCATATTTCCCACATACAATGTAGTCAATCAAAATGTCTTGCAGTAAATACAAAATGGCATCAGATAATGAATCCTCAAATGAAAACACTTCATTTTGAATTGTAAGTCTTACTTTGTAATAAAGGTGTAATAACATAAGCAGCTTTAGAGTAGTCATAATTAGCAACCTGTGTAGATTCTGCTGCAGAATTATAATGTGCTTGTAATGGTACATTATGCCATCTGGTGGACATTTTCACATTCTGGCACGCCACTTCCATTTATAATGCAAATCGATGACCATTTTACCTATAAAATATTTTGCAGCAGGCAAGGTCTATATGAGGTCACTGACCGTAACAATTCTGCAGCATATTTCTCAATTAATTCCAATTACATTTCTTCAATAAGGTAGTATTTATCAATGCACTGCTGTTATCAAAAGAGATTCTGGCTTTAATTTTGTAACTCACAATGAAAAGCAGAACATCATTGATTATGTGGCAGCACAAACAGTTCTTCTTTCAGACAGAATAAAAGGTCAGGTGTGTCTAGCCCTAGACAAATCGATGCATATTAATAAATGTACATTGTTACTTATAGAGGTAAACTGTTTAAAAGGTTGTGTATGGTACTTTTACCACATACTGATCATATACCTCTTATAATGTAATATTTTTACGGTAAATCTTGTTTTTAAATGTATAACATCCCCTCTCTCGGAGTGAGCAATATGTTTATGTATTCAATATAAATACCTTAATAAGACATTTTGGGTACCACAAACACGATCAAAGCATGTATCTAAAATGTATAAATATTTTTAAAATATTTAATCAAAATCATATGAAAATAAATAAAATGCTGATACATATTTCTACAATGTCATAATAACAGAGCACCTGCTCCAGTTGTCCATCATTTGGCAGGGGACATATATAAGGAATCCGAGTTCCTCTGTCTTTTGCGTCTCAAAATATATAAAATACTGTATATATAAAATAATATTAGACTATCTATTAACATATGATAGCGTTTTAGATTACAGAGCTAAATTTTTACTCATTCCGACTGAGATGTTTTTCTAAGTTCCTCATATGGTGAGGTTGATATAGTCAAATAAGTGGAGTATAGGCTCCTGCCATAGAAGTGGGGTAGGTGCGCCTGGCTACATTATGATTTTGGGATGTAAATTCTAAATAGTTGATGATGTAATCTGGATCTGATATTCTTCCACAATTCATAAATAAGGGGTTAGGCCTGGTGCCTCTGTTGGTCCCTGTTCAATGCACATATCATATTGCACATCTATCCGGTATTTCCTCTGTTGACTCTCGGAGGGTGCTGTATTGACAAGTGGATGGCGCCAGTGGCGGAACTACTGCCATAGCGACCCATGCGGGCACTATGGGGCCCGCAACAGAGAGGAGGCCCAGTCAGGAGCAAGATTGAAGGCTTCACGGCCGGGTCCTGGAGTAGGAGCGCACACAGTGGCAGCCCCCCGGGCACAGCGATGTGGAGGGTGAGGTGTGGCCGGCCGGAGAATTCCAACGATTTCTCAGCTGTTCCAGGGTAAATTGGCATCGCAGATCGTATGTGTAGGAGAACCGATCTACCATGGAACAGCTAATCGGTCCTGAAATGTCACTTTTATCAGACTTTGTGAGTGTGATCTCACATTCCACAAAGTCCAATAGAAGTGGCATTTCAGGACCGATCAGCTGTTCTGCCCTGGACCAGCTGACAAAGCGTTGGAATTCTTCGCCTTTTGCTAGTCACATATTTCAACGCCGAAAAACTGGGCGTGGTTACATTAAAATGTGTAACCACGTGAACGGTCACACAATCCAACCCAGTCACAATCTTTGATAGAACACCGGTGTGGGCGATTACACTGCTGATGGGGGGGGCGTGGCTGCAGTGCCATTGTCTTCAATGCACCACCATGCCCCCTCCCACCCCAGAACACAGGAGGGGTTAAGTGTGCAATATAGTGTGTTCCAGTAGCTACCGCTCTGGAACGCACTGTAATTTGTGTGAATAAGCCCTAAAACACTTTTATACCTGCACATACATTGCTGTAATTGTCTTCTATATACACTGTGGCTCCTCTGACTGCTGTAATCTCAAAGGCTCGTTTATACCCTTGCCTGGAATGCCAGGAATCGCATACACAAAGTCTCCTTGCGTTCTGGGGTGGGAGAGGGCGGGGCAGTGCCATTCATGTAATTTGAATTTCAGACACAATTCATGTCATCAGCTGCACCAGAAAGCATGGTAACACAATGCCCTGCGTTCAAGTGTGGTAAATCACAGGACCACACAGGGTCCCTTCATCAAGCATTCACAAACCAACATCAATAAAGGCATTTTCATGATGAAGATTTTGGTGTGCTGGTGACTTACTTTCTATGCTCTGATGTCCCATGTGTCTTACTGTTTTGGTGCCAGATAGATGGGTCCTTGCTTTGACAGATGGCATATATAATTTCAGTTGGCTCTGGTTTCCGTTCCTTTTCATAGTGTGAGAAAAATGTCTAGACAATTTCATGAATGGACATGTATAATTGTTTTTCATCAAGATAATATTATATTATTTATTATAGATTGTTTCGTCCTACTAATCCTACTGAAGAAGTGTACCATATTGTTCTTGAACTGTATCCAGTATAGACCCATCATTTTAATGGTATTAAGACCAGCCAACTCTATGAAATTATATTGATATATATAACACTTAAATGATGGGCAACTGGGGGAGATGCTCTGCGATTATGAAAGTGTAGACCTTTTTATCAGCCTTTTATTTACATTTATATGATTTTAATAAAATATGAATATAAGATTTATGAATTTTAGATATTTTATAATGTATGTAATACCAAAAAAAGTCCCATTGAGGTTTCTTTGTATTTGTATTTAATCAATTGCTCGGGATGTTGCTACTCCCCAACATGGGGTCAGACCTTTCCATACATAATTTATAGTTTATATTTATTTATAGCAATATCTTTATTATAAATGTGTTAATGATTGTATTTGCCTAATAAAGCCAAATTGTATGACATTTGCTACAGCATCCTATAATTTACTGTTGTCTGTTTGTCTTTTACTAACCTCTCTAGAAAAAAATGAATGCCCTTTGCTATACATTTTCTAGACATTTATTTGTTACCTGTTGCTTTTAATGACTGTTATACCCGTTGTGTGTTGTTGTATTAATATACTAAGGAAAGCTGTCAAACCAATATATGAACTGCATATGTTTTTTTTTAGGTATGGTGATATGGTTCCAAAGACAATAGCTGGGAAGATTTTTGGCTCCATATGTTCTCTAAGTGGTGTTTTAGTCATTGCATTACCAGTTCCTGTAATAGTTTCCAACTTCAGCCGAATATACCATCAGAATCAACGATCGGATAAACGCAAAGCGCAAAAGGTAGTGTGATATAATTGCCACGGACATATATTGTTCAACTTATACAATACAAACCAACTCTTGTTTGTCAGAAGCGAGTGGATAACTATACTGTATAACATAACGTAATTGTCCTCTAGGGGTACTTTATTAGGGTAAAAGGCTGGTTGTTTATTTAAAATACCAGTTCAAAGATGTTTTAAATATTAAATCGTATATAGAACAAATTTGATCATCGTAACTTATTTAAAAACGTAAGAGAATGGTTAGTAAATGTTTTAAACATATGTGGGGTACTGACATGACATAAAAATAAACACTTAAAAAACGAGGCGAGGAAGTGAGGGGAATTCTCTCCAACTAGAACAGACATGGAAACCAAATTCTTTTTGTAATGGATGTGGAAGTGTTAGAATGAATTTGGACCATAAATTTGAATTTCAATCCAGACAACAATGAGAGCCTGACAGAGGTTCTATGCTTTACTGCCTCGGCCCAAAACTAGGAAAAAAAATGGTTTGAGTAGGAGTTTCACTTTACACTTTTTATTGGCAGGGCCAATCATATTGAGAGTGTATGTTCTCTTAGATTATTTTGAATAAGGCAATAAACACTACATTAAGATAGTACTGGCATACTGTAAAACCACATTTTTCTCACAACATACTCCTCTTAGCAATATTCTTCTTCCATAAAGGTTTATATTTTTTACTATTTATACGCCAAGATCACATTAAAATATAGACTTTAAAGGATCAATATTTTTTTAATAATTAATATAACCCTCTTGGCCACAATCATGCAGATCTTTAAAAATAAGCTTATCATATATACAAGTTGGGCAACACTGTTATTGATTTCACTTCAGTGCTGCTATCTGACTTTAGTTTTAGTCAATGAACATCTCACCACAATGGTAAAGCAGAGATACACTGTATTAAAGGAATAAATGGAACAATTACTTTCTCACTTTTAACTAGGAGCTCCAGTACTGAGCTCATACATCAGCCATATGAGCGACTGGGGAGTAATTTATGAACAGATCAATTTGCCTTTCAGAAAAACCAGATGTCAAAGTGCTAGCAGTTCATTCTCAGTTTTAAGTGAAAAGCATATGAGAAATAGAGAAGACATTGAACTCCATGGAAAAAAAAAAGAAATTGCCTGACACTGAGAATATACTCCTAATTAATTTCACAATATCAATTTATTTCACTATGGGAATGAAGTCTGTGGGAAGATACACCACATATCTTCAGATACAGTCTTTAATTAATGTAGATTTCTCGATCACCTGTAATACTTAATTATCTTAATTATCAGTGTGTTGTTGCTCAGTAGGGCACTTGAAATATATTTTGTAATTCACTAGGGTAAAAGATTCAATTTTTTTTGTGAAGGGAAAAGTCTCTAATAGAAGGTTGGTAAAATCAAATAAAAGCAAAACTGATAGCTGGTAGAAAAAAAGAAAAATAATGAAAAAAAGCTAGCAGTTTTGAAAAAAGTCATATCTTATTTCTATATAGAGATGTCAATATACACAGACACATACACTGTGTGTGTGTGTGTGTGTGTTATATATATATATATATATATATACTATATATACTGTATGTACAGGAGAGGAG